CAGGATGACAATATTCAAACATTCTATCACAGCGAAAGAGGTAGAAAACAAAATGCATAAAAGATAATCAAACCTGCAGCGAGATCTGGCACATATCAATAAAGGCTTGCAGTCGTTCAGGGAAAGCAAGGAAACTTTCAGTATCAGTAACAAGGTACGAGTGAAGCACATGGAAAATATCTGGAACACACCAACCTTACGAATATCTGAGATCAACCACAACATCACTTTTTTCAAAACCAACAGTCAAAACAGTAGCGCATAAAAGAAAAGGCCTTTCACCGTTACTCGATTAAGGCCATGGAAATGAACATTTTCGAGTTTTGGATGAAATGACGGACTGGGAAAAAGTGAAAATAGTAAACTTACCAGCAAATGGTAGCGCACCCCGTTGCTCATTACATTTGTACATTGTGTACAGATCCTTGAAAACAGCCCACATCGGCTCACTAACATATGTTGTCAAAAGTGACTGCATGAGCACGATAATATCGCAGTAGAAATCTGGAAAAGTAGTACACAAACTTGCATATAATCTTTACTAGATTAGCGACTACCAAACATGTACACCCAAATTCTCAAGATTTTCCTCCCGATCGCCCATTTAGATTGAACTACATAACTCTGACAGTCGGCAAAAAATTTCAATTACGGGCTCTCAACCAACTCGACTACTATAAGCCTGTAGTCGTCTGAGCACCTCCCGTATAAGCACACTATTCGCCGGCATCCTAACGCTTCATTGTGAATGGTGCAGCCCTTACAAGGCCGCCATCACACGGCCACTTTCAGGTATGTACGTGGCCAGTTTTGGAACCCTTTTCGGGGCGTTTTTCGACCCTATAATGCCTAACGTTCTACCCTCCAGGGCCACAGGCCTGGAATGAACTTCAGGAACCACTTCTATCATGAGCTGTGCCTTTAAGTAGAAGCTTGCATAGCAAAGTGGCAGTCGCAGAAATAGAACAAGAAAAGCGTGGTTAGGTACATTCACGAAAAAACTCAAAGTAATTGAGTATATCGAGAACAAAAAATGAATACTAAAATTTACAGGTAACAACGCACCGACTTTCTGTTCAGCCAATACATATTTCACAATTTTCAAAACACTTGGTTCCACTTCTACCATGATCTCTCGATGATCTTCCAGGACCTATAATGCAATAGTTTTCTAAATTAAGCCATTCCCCATCGATATTTCAAAACTCACGTCAAGGATATTGCTAAAAGTGGGTAGAATTGACATCAATGCATGAGTTTGATCGCCCGCATCAGGACTAGCAATAATTTCCAAGAAAAGATTGGACTGAAACCACAAGGATCCCTTACTATTTGAATACATCTAGTACTCTACGATAACTATTCAATTACCAAGCTTGAGGCTATTTCGGCTGCGATCGGTATCACGGTGTCCATGAAATGCTCAAAAATCTCGTCTACAACTCGGACTATATCTTCAACTTGAGTCTTCGCAACTAGCTCCAGTACTTGTACTATGATAACTCTCACAGATGGTTCCAAGAGAGCGTGAGCTGTAAGAAAGATTGAAAATATAATAGGACTGATAAGTTTAAATTAATAACCAATAATTAAAACCTTTAATCTAACCTTTTTCTTGATCTTTGAGGATGCCCTGGATTGCCATGGCTGCTTCGACTCTTACGGGAAGTTCCTCATTTGGATCACAAAGGCAACGAACGAGTGCATCAACAGCCTATGACCATATCCTTTTTCATTAATGAGCCACAGAAATAACCGAATAATTGAACAAACACGATGGATGCTTCTGAAATACCTTCGATAGAATACTTGTTGTACGAAATTGTGCATCGCTGTATTGCCTGAAGCACCACGCTGCTCGAGCTTTGACAAACTTGTTTGGATCGCTCAAACGACTGGTACACAATGTATCCAACATACGCTCCACATCTCCTTTGTACTTCTAAATCTCAGAAATGAAATGAAACAACGCACATGAAATACGTCTATTACAAGGTTACACAATTCGATCATTCAAACAAATAAGAGCAGACATGGCAGGCCCTACCCTCGCAAGAATGAGAAAATATAGCCGTTTATGAGAGCAGGTGGGAGGTGATAGTGGGAGATAGGGTAACAACACTAACCTCCTATGGGGAATGTACTCATCCTCAGCTTCTGGTCTTGAACCATTTCACTTGCCAAACCCAAAAATGCAATAATTGCTTTAAAATTTAATACCCCCTCCCCCCCCNCCCCCCCCACCCTTATCCCACCACACATCGCCCCCTCCCCACATCCTCACATGTTCCAAGAGAAATACGCGGCAAAAATGTAGCCACTGTATGACAGAATAGAGGAATGCCAAATTGACACACCTTGCTTTTCGTCAGTTGCGACTCCAGCTCTCCAATCATTCGAAGCGCTCCTTCAACTTCACGCGGACTCGTGGATCTTGTCAAGATCTGTAGTGTGTAAAATTAGACCCAAATACCATTCAGAAGGGTTCAGTTAGCAAAATAAAAAAGTTAGCAAAATAAAAAAGCCACATGGAAAGAAACATGAACTAACATTTATTGCGAAGGCAAGAACCGGTTGTACGATATCCTTGCGCTTTGCTAACCCACGCAAAAGCGCTCCAGCTTCATAGACAGGATTGTGAATATCCTCAAAGATGTCTGAAACGAAACTTCAGTACCACTGATTACATAATGAAAAGATTATATTTTCTGTGTGGGTTCACAGTCTGAAAGAGGCCAAACATGAAAACCCCAAAAAGACCTACCCTAAAATTCCAAAGATAAGAGCGGCTGAAACTACCGGTGAAAAATGAATTGGAATGAAATTGAAATTGAATGCAGTCACCCTCTAACTTGATGGATGGATAAATTAAACCTCGAAGAAGAAGTTAAGAAGAAGCTCCGCCCCTTAACCCCAAACCCCGCCCACTTAAAAACAATTCATGTAGAAAAATAGCGATTTTAATGGAT